TACGGTATTTTCAGGACTCCAAGTGCCCCTATAATTCATACTTTCTATAGGAATCCTATGAAGATTAAAATATGGACATAGTTTCTTATAATTTCAATATTTATTTATTTATTTATTTTTGAGATGGATGTCTTTAGGTAAATATAGTCATGTCATGTCATTCTGATGTCTTTTTAAAAGGGGTTGAGGATTTATTCAATGAGGTTGAGAAGCTTGTAGAGAAAAAGTACTACTTGTGATCGGTAATCTTTTCAAAACAACATCTAAAATTTTGCCAAATGGAGATTTGCGTTAACTAAAAATTAACACCTGTTCCTAGTGTGGAGCCATAACACATCCCAATATAGTAACTATTCTTAAATGACTTTTTAAAAATAATCAACAATTTCTTTTTTCATAAATGGAAATTTAAGGTTATAGCTTGTATATGTACGCAGCCCGTTTTCTATTCTACTGATTCTCATCCAGCATTAGCATAAATGAGCCTGACTTATTAATTTTACTTTAAAATGAATTTTAAAATATGACCAAGTAATATCTCTTATTATGTTTGTGTCAACGTAATACTTATTACTAAACTTTTATATCTTTTTTATTTAATAAGTAAGTCTCTTTTACCCAGTGTTCCTTATTTACCCCTCTTGATTGGTATAATCCTTTTCCCCAACGTATAATTTTGGGTTTTTTATAATGTTAATTGTAAATAATCTTACTCGGTACAGCTTAAGATCCATGCTGAAGTGTCGATTGCCTGCGATTTTCTAGCCGGGACGACCTTGATTGAACTAAACACGATTGTGCAAATCACTGCTAACACAATTCCTGGAAAACACGCAGCCTCCGAACAATCGACATTAATTTTGGTTCGTCGAATTACAGAATTGAGTTGACATATTATATCTTAGCTGAACTACTTGCAAAATATTGCGAATCAACAAGACCAATTGCGAGTCGCTACCATTCGTATGATAGATATACAGACCCTTTATGTCTCCTTGATCTAAACCGATTTAAATTATAAGACGTGTCTATTAAAAGAAAAGAACAAACCCAAGCATGATGTTCTAAATTTGGCCGATAACGGCCGCATTTATTGAAGGTCCCTCTAATATAAATAAATGAAGCGGATTAGTGATAGACATTGAATAGTGTTGATTAATGATATTAACGTAATGTGTACACCTGAAGTATCTACATATATAACTTCTAAACAAATAGTGCACACATTTCAATTTGTGGCTAGGGTGAGACACTGGGAAAATAGAGGACATGAGTGCAGCAGGACTTGAGAGCTTTTGTCTGACTTTTATGGATATGTCAGAAAAAAATTTGGTGAATTCTACAAAAAAAAAAAAAAAAATCAAGAATGCTACCAATCAGACAAGGACTTAACAGGTTTTTAGATTGATATTGTAATGGATATTGATATTGTAATGAATACTGAGTTTGCTGATGCTTACAATGTCTTCAAGTCGGTGCTTAAAAAATACAAGCTGAAGACAAGAGAAATATTGTCCACAAAGATACTATTCACATATTCATCACATTCATCACAAGCTCTCTTGAACTGAAACACAAGCCATTGCGTCAGAGAAGCCTATGACCGGCTGGACTACCAATATACATGATTAAAAGTATGCTATCCACGTTTCTAAGCTACTAATGTTTCCCAATTTTTGCCTAAAAGACGATAAAATCTCTTAAATAAATGTGCCTGGTGTCAATTATATAATTAGAAATGATCAAAAACGTCGAAATCCTAATTGTAAGTAGGGAAAAAATTTCGAAGAATTTTTATATTTGGCGTGAAAATCTTATATAGGAAACATTTAAATCTCTCTCTCTCTCTCTCTCTCTCTGTCTCTCTCTCTCTCTCACACACACACACACACACACACACACACACACACACACACACACAATCTGCCACAGTTCTGTAAGTTTTTGGTTACTCGTTGACATTGAATGGAATTTACGTCAAAAATACGCCCAAAATGTTTTATCATTTGCCATATTAAATATGTTATTTATAAATCAATACAAAAACGCAAAGACTGCTTTTCGGATCGTAAATTCGCTCAGTGAGAGACGATATAGATACAGCAGTCTTCCCTGCCTCTAGTTCACCCTCTATTTTCCACCGCATCCCCTTAAAAATCGTCTCTCTAATATTCTGAATTATTCATACAATTGTGACGTTCTAAGTTGTCCCCGGCCATACATAGTGGTCTTTATATAGTATGTAGATGAACATTTTGTTTGTTAATCACATGTAGTGTTGACATAATCCTTGTTCAACACTCTTGAGACAGTTTTAAAGACTACTGAAGTTAGCAATTTGGTGCATTTCACAGCTTATGAGGTTAGTCCTAAAACGGTTTATGTTAAAAGTATCGCTGAATGCAGCCTTAGGGGGCATTCCCGTAGATTTTAGATCGATATATCCCCGTGGGGAGTCTCACTAGATTACAGTCAGATAATCCGGCTTAAATGTCCGTCACGCCTACTACAAGCTGTATGGGGGTAATTAACTTTCGTGCCCGCTCGGCTGACAGCTATTTAGCGTGAACCCCCAGGGAGTTAGGTCGATCTAGTTGGATCGATCTAATCTCTGGGAATAGGGTCTTAGAATTATCTTCTGGTAATACACTGCACCTTCCAGTAAAACATTTAGACCATTAAAGCTGTAAAATTTCGCTGATTCTGGTGCGAGGAACACCCAATGTGAGCCAAGCTTCATTCGACCCAAAACACCTGCAGCTGATAATTCATAGTTAAGAAAATGGAATTTTTAAAAGATTGGTAGGAAACAGATTTATGTAGGACCCTAAAGGGCATTAAGGCCATGTAATGTCAGATGAAGGTGACATATTTGCATTTGATTTTTGTATTTACTGATGCAGGTGCCGCTAGTAGGGTATATTCGTTTATTCTTTCGCATAGCAGTTGTTCCTATAGCAACAAGAAAAGGAATGCACATATATTTCGTAAAAGTTATTATGCTAGGGTTTTCATCGTGTCAGGAAAAAACTACAAGTCAATTGATATTTTGTCTCAGTATGAAAATGTATTCAATGGTTTCCTGTGAAACAAATTCCATCTGCCTTGACAGTTGCGGATTTAGGGGGGAGGGGGGGTGTCAGGGGGGTCCTGCCCCCCCCCCTTCGATTTCTGAAAAAAAATCACATCAATGGTCCCTCTTGAAATTAAATTTTTGACTAGCTGAATAATAATAAATGGCACCTTTCGCCCTCTAAAATTACAAAATACCTTAAGCGGGCCCCGAACCCCACGCCACGGTGGGTGGGGAGGGTTGACTGCGAATCTGCGGACCCCCCCCCTTCAAATAATCCTGGATCCGCCCCTGCTTGAAGACACAACAGAGTAAAACCTGTTATAATTAGCTCTGTAGCCATGGTCTCAAAGATTAGATTATGAGTATTACATGTCAGCCCTTACTATATACGTGATCAGATAGCCCGTTCGTCTTGCAGACAAATTCGTTATTACACCATTCAGACCATTTTTGGCAGTCCTTGTGAGCCGTGCAACTCCCTTTCGGGATTGCATATCTATTCCCGTTTTCAAATATCACTTTCATAATATTTGCGAAATAAATGCTTTAAAAGGAAATCATGGTGTGCCTTATCGATTCAGATATTGAGGAGGTCTTTATCATACAACTGGAAATTAACCACTCTGATAGTTTCCAATCGGAGTTGTTGTTATGGTTATAGCGGCGGTGATTGCTTTTAAATGGACTTATTGACTGCGACTATGCTATTTCAAGGAAATAATGAAAAGGGTGTGTGAAAATGAGAGAAATTGAGCCGATGTTAAATGCTTTGGTTGAGATACGGGGACAATTTTCTCGTCGATTTGATGAAACACTACTGATTCTTCAATGTGAAAAAAAGAAATCGAATTACTTGTCCAGATATAATTTCAAACACCAAGTAGAAAGAAGTATTTACGCTCGTGGTAATGTAAAAATTCACAATTCGCACAGCTCCGTGAAAAAAAGTCACAAGCTTAAGCCCAGAAAAGTTGAGTAGTATTGATTCGCCAGAGCCAGTGTCCGTAGTATAGTACAGAGTATTTGTGCTAGATTGAATTCCCCCCCCTAAACGTGACTTTTAGCAAGAATAATCCACCAGTAAGTGGTCTGAGGCAGGGGACCACAGAGTAACAACTACTCGATAAAATTATACGGACAAATCCGTTTTCCAATATCATCTATGCTTGGTGATAAGATTGGTTCGTCAGGCTGTTCATCCGTATTTGATATTTGTGTTAGCTCCACGAAGATAGAAATTGATATACGGACATTATCATATCAGGTGATTATCCTCGCTGTTATCAACTGTCATGTCTTCTTGATTTAGATGGGACTTACTTCTGTTCTACTTATCTAATGGAGAAAAAAAGAACTAGAATCAAATTTACACTGCCGTTCATTCATCCGTGCAATATGTCAAGTGTTGGTAGTTCTTATCCGTGGTTTCTAAGCGATCAATTTGAAACTACATTAAAAGCCAATAGTACACCCGACTTCTTCATTGTGGGAAACTTCAACTTTTTATGCATAAAACATAACAAAAAAACAAATCGCTACATATATTTACCGTCAATCACGGCATGTTGTAATATGGATCAATGGTTAAGAGCCAATCAAATCAGATTGAGTCGATATTTTATTAGGAGAAAAGCTACTCGCGAATTTTGAATAAAATAACTGAACTCTCTATGTTAGGATCCCGGAGATTGGACTTTTTACTCACCTAGGTTAAATTCTCTCTCTTTCTCTCTCTCTCTCTCTTACGCGCATGCACACACGCGCACGCACATACCCCACGATAGACCAAATAAACAAACTAGGCAGGTAGAGTGCCCTCCCGTAGTCTTCTTATCTCACACTTGACCTGACCTCTTTGATGACACTTCTTTCTATCTGTTCAGATATAGTTAAGGCTGAGATGATTAATATGAACATATCAAACTTTAAGCAAGTTGGAGTGCCAGTCTTTTCGCCTTACAGTAATTTACCATGACCGTGATATCAACTTCGTGTCAACTTCGCTGTACCCGTGTACATGTTCATAACTATGGATGTTGAAGTTTTATTTTGCCGATGTCACAAATATTCTATCTGTACTCTGATATATTTATACAAATTTGAAGAGTAGGGACCTTCCGACTGCTGGCATCACAATTGGACTGATGATTGCTTGCGCAGGAGACGGGATTTTTTAAGCAAGGGATCGTATAACAAGTGTGACGTTGCCTTGGCCTCAGGTCGATTGTTCAGACTGTAATCCAAATCCGGTGCTGCACTTGTGCCTCACCCTCATAGCTGACTTAGCTCTGCTGAAAACAGGCAGTTTTCACGGATGACGAAGTTGTTTAACTAATAGCACACAGAGGTTCATTTTTTAGATATATCGAGTCAAGTTTCTTACGAAAACGACCAAAGGATTGTTTGCATTTGCATCAGGCAGATCAGGCTTTAAGTCTGGAAACTTGGTGAACATTTCCTTTTGATAATCACTCAGTACATACTGCGTCTCCCATTAGATTCAATCTAGGGGACCAAGCTGTAACCTTTAATATAATATAAAGAATGGCAACAACGACTAACTCTGCTGATAATCAAGAAAAGAATGCACCGAGTAAAACTCCAACTAGTAATGAAAACGCCACATCTGCCACACCGAAAGCTGGGAACCATAACAAATTCCGCACCGCTAATGTCACTCCGACAGACCATGGGAGGTCTCCACAAAAACTTAGTCAAAATAACAAGAAAACTGGATCAGAGGCAGCCAAGAAAAATTGGGGAAAGGTAGAACTGAAGGAAGTAGCACAGCTCAATCCGCATCACAACAAGAACGGTAAAAATGCCCCAGGATTAAGGAAAGACAGTGCGTCCCGGTCCAGATCGCCGAGAGAGAGATCGAATTCATTAATGGTACCTGGAGACAGAGACGGACAGTTGGGGGAAAATGATATTCAAAACGAGACGGATCATTTATCTCTTGGGTCTCGACGGGAATCCCTCGATTCTAAACACTCTGCCACTTTACTTGACCGTCTTCAGAGAGCCACCGTTGTTCACCCCCCGGGGTCGGAGGAGAAACCGAAATCTGTGCTAACGAACAATGACACTTATATCAAGTCGGCCATCCCTTGCCTCCCGCTTGGTCTGGCGTTACTCTTCTGTTTCCTCAACATTATTCTTCCAGGGATAGGTAAATGTGCTTTTGATTATTTCCCTCGTTTGTCGTTTAAAAAGTGTTTAGTGTTTATATTCCCTGCATATTTTTATTCCGTCTTATCTGATATGCCATGATAATTGTGAAATGGGGGTAGAAAAGATTTGTGTTGTCAATGAGGTCGTCATCTTTAAAAACAAAACAGAATTCTGATGTCATTAGTTTGGACTAAGATATTTGCGTCTAAAGCTGACAGGAGGATAAGCGCCTTGGAATTTCATATAATTGACTAAGGGAAGATCGATCATGTTTATATAATCTCCTCAAGACACATGTTATCGGAATGATAGTCAATATCGAACCGACCTCAATACCAGATCCAAGTTGAAGATTGGATACCGATCTAAATTTAGTCCAATTTAACAGGCAATACATATCACTTGTTTTAGTTCATACACCTGTATATGATCCTTTTCTTTAAAAAAATTGACCTGTTCACCCAATCTTTTACCAACGTAAAGTCGTAGTTTTCATTTAACGTGTCAAAAAAATGTTTGTTTTTTTTTTTAGTCGAAATGTAAATATGTCTCAAATAATGCGGTCGTTTCTCTGTTGTGCGTCTCAACTTGACGGTTGGATTGCAGAGCATGTTTAACGTTCCACCCTCTAATAATGAACGTACCTCCTAAAATGCTGCGAGTTGAATTTTCAAAAATTTTATTTCAGCACACTTCTTTTTATATGGGGAGGCGTGTGAATTATAGGTACCACATTTTGCTGATTATTTTCTCACTAAAATCGCTGACCCTGCTAAATTTAGGTAACCATGTAATTTTTCTGACGTACATGCGGCGATGCCTGTTGGGGGAGGGAGATGTCCGTTATATACTCGTAAATGTCAATTTTAACCAAACTGTTTCAGGAACTACATGCAGGAAAGCACGGGTCTGCAAGCTTCGACCCCCCCCCCTCCCCCACCCAACTTTTTCCAAAAAAAGAAATTTTGGCGCAACTTCATAAGCAATGATTTCAGGCCCAGGTTTTGCATTTGTTGCAGATAGATCCTACTGCACTTCAAGCGTCTGAAATCGCTTGTGAATTCATTTGGTCGTCCCGTGTTGCTTGTAAGCTTTGAGCCAATTTTATTTAAAACCTGACAGACTGAAGACGTGTTGTGCGATGGGTAGGTCATAAAGAATGCAAAAGTTAGGAGCTAAACTGTTATGGTGACAACGCAAACATAATATTGATTTAGGTAATTCAAATCCGATTATCCCGATTTAAACAGAATGATTAAATCTACTTATTCTAGCGCCCAAACAAGTGTATATCTTGTCCTATCGTATTTGTTTGGGGTCTATCACACTTCAGAACTAAGAGAGCAGTCACACGAGACAGATAATACGATTGGTTGAATTTGATCTTTTCGTCTAACATGAAAGCCTGACATAGCTGACATCTCGTAATATATACTATATATATACTATAGTATAGTATATATAGTATATATAGTATATATATACTATATATACTATATTAATGTTTTCTCTAATTTCTAGTATCTTTTATACAACGACCTAGTTTATTTCCTTGGTAGGGTCCGTTCAGTGACTTATGTTTAAAAAAGTTCAAATCATAATTCCAACATTGATCAAGATACTGTAATATATATATTTTTTTATTTGGGGGAATATTGTAAAATAAAATAAAATTTTCATCCTAGATTGCAGGTTCAATTATGAAATCAAAATACATCATAAGCTAGTTTTCTACTCAAAAAACACTTCGGCGAATATCTAAAACGGTTTTTACATACACAACCAAAAACGAAAACGTGGTTCACCAGTGCTACCCGAAATTCGTCTATTAGGTGTCACTGTTTTTCTTTTGTTTTCCTTTTTTTCTTGAGAAAAACAGATCTACATTTTGACTCATGGCATTCTAGTGATCGCAAAGTCGAAAGCTATTGATTGACAATATTCTAAAGCAGAGGAATTTCACGTTACAACATCTATTTTTCAGGTACAATGTTAAGCGGGTTCGCAATACTCTGTTGTGGAGAGCCTAGAATCAACGCAAAAGACGACAGGAAATCCGCTACTCTGTGCTGCAATGTGTTTGTTGGAGCTGCTCAAATGATGACGATAACGTTCCTATTAGTGGGGTGGTTCTGGAGCGTCTCGTGGGGCATCTCTATGGTGGCTCTGGCGGGTAAGTTGTCTTTTCTCTGCTGACCCCTTATCAGTAACATAGCGACATCTGTCCCAAAAACATATTTCATTTGTTTTTTAGTACAGATTTTTCCGGTTTCGCCAATTCCTTTAGAGTAACTGCTATTTTTTTCTGGGAAACTGGATTTTTTTTCACATTGAACATAAAGCTATTCTTATTTGCGAAAAGAAGAAAAATAAATACTGATGTCTAGCCTAACTCGGTTGACCGCCTCACCACTGTTCAGACCGATCTTAACTAAAACATGATAGTCCTGACCTATTAAGGAAATATTAAAGTTAAATACAACGCCCCTCGGTCTTCCCCCTTGAGGTATTCCCATTGTGGCCAAGACCATCTCATCGCTAAACTGGATAGCTCAGAACAGTAGTATGCAGTGAACTGTCTCCGTGCTGAAGTTACTTCTCAAGCGTTTTTGTTGAAACTGTTTTAAACGCAACTTAAGACATGCTGAGAACAACGCGTTATTTTAATTCCTTGGCTAGGTTCAGGTTTTTGTTTAAAGAACAACAAACCCCCTCTGAGGCAGAGGAGGCTCGTTTTTATGTGTTTTGAATACAGTTTGTGGAGTGTAGTAGTTCAGTTCAAGGAAAAAAGACATCCAAAGAGGTCAGATTAGCGTTTTAATGCCCAGTACTAGAGCATCTGAACTCGATCCCGATCGCCGATCAAAGAAAACCATTGTATGGAAATTAGACACGGAAAGCAACATTCCACCAATCTGTAGTGTACTCGCCCTTGTACTGACACCACATAGCGAAATGTGAGTGTGAATACGGATTTGGAATAATCGCGCTTTGTTGAAACGCCAACAATGTGTTTTGTATCTGACGAAAAAAAGTCTTTTAGTATCAGTTTTGTAGCGCAATCTTAACCCTCTTACTGGACATATAGTAAAAACATTTGTAGAATGTACTACAACGAAAGTAGGTTTTATCTTGATAGAGTGAAAAAATACCCCAAAATACTTATATAAGAAAAATTATTTTGGCAGTTTCTTAAAAAATAATCATTTACAAGTTTAAGTCAGTGTCGCACTTTTCAAAATGCATGGACATATTTATTTCAGTGGCCAAGAGAAAAGAAGAAAAGGAAGAAAAAATGCTTGAACTAAAAGCTAGGACGTTGGTTGCCTTTGGTTCTCCTGTTCGAACAGGGGGTCTGATGAAATACGCCTAGGATAGACAACGCAGACTTACATCCAACACCGTTGTGGAAAGGCTATCGTCTCTCCTTGTCACTCATTAAAAGCGGAGAAAACTACTCCTGATGACCTACGTTATAATATACGTACATATACAAGCGAAGAGTATTTATTTTTAAGAGTAGTTGACAGTAACCTGTGAAGTGATATTTCTATTAAAAGCACGTTCAGGGCAGTTGTTATTTGATAATCTCACTGGGGGCAAGACTGGAGAAGAAACGGCGCAGGATAGATGTGTGAACTTTGTACTGAAATTTTGTGATAATTGGGTAGAATTGAACGTGGCCTGCTGTCATGTCTACCTACCTTCTTCCTGGAGTGCAGTGACTGCATTGTTCAATGCATAATGACTTGTTTTAACATGTGCAATATAAGTTTGTTTGATAGGATTTTTGAATAAAGGACTTGTGTTTAACGCCTTTCTTTTTTATGGTGTTGATATACTGTTAGGAATTTCACCCCAAGAGGTCAACCTGAATTGAGCTCCAGATCTCAAACACGTGGCATTCTGCGCGCAGTCAGTATTCTTAACCGTAACGTTTGTCTCCCCTTAACAGAAGTATGGACTAGGATTGGCAATAGGCCAAATTACTCTTTTTAATCTGCCCAAGTCACAAAACACTTGAGCATGTGGTTACTTGCGCTTGTCAAATTAATATTTTTTAGTCGGACTGCCCAAGTTACAAACACGTGCGCGCACGATTATTTACGTTAGGAGTATGCCCAGGTTTATAAGAATACATCAAGTTAAAATAGTTTAAGACTTAAAATGTTTAAGCAATCAAGGAATCTCTTGCTTCTTCATCAACCTATACAGCATTTTTTTACAATAGTGCAACAGGGCAGAAGCAACAATATTAATCTAATCAAAAAAAAATTCAAAGAAATACGTCGAGTTGCTCTTTACATCAAGGCAGCACATTGTCGAATGACCAAGAGCCTTTGAAATCGCAGTGAACCAAAGTAAAAGGACGCGTAGCCTCTGCTGCGTTTCTTTTTCACGTCCGACATTTAAAAAAAATGGTAATCGATAAGCATAATCCAAAAATAGACTTTTAAGCAACAGGCACCGTCAAAGAGAAAACCCGCTTTAAAAGGAAACATTGAAACCAAACGTGAACTGAACGCTTTACTTTTCTTTATACCAAACGGACAGGTTACATGAACGGTATATAAAAACATTAAACAAGAAATGTTTTATATGTGGTCACCTATAAAATACTTCTAATTTATCTACTCAGCTCAATTTGCTGCAGCGCTCTGAATACTTCCCAGTTAAACAACTGTTCGGGAAATAGTACAAATAGAAAATTATAAACAAAACTGTTGCAACTTATTTCTATTGATATTTCAACAATTGAAGCAACCAATTATTATCTTTATCAACTGCAAAAAATTCGGTTATCAGATTGTTATTAATTTTAATTAAAATGCCCTTTTTCTCAATTACTGAACCAAATTTTAAAAATGCTGACCCCAATGAACTGCTCTGATGTGTATTTACAAATAGCATGATTCCCAGTGTTAAAATACTTTACTCTAAAGAACTGTTTTTCATTAAAATAACCACTTAGTGCCTCTTCACTGAAGTTTGTGCTACTAAAACTGCCAGGTGTTACAACACACCAAGGCCATGTTTCAATGCTGCAAAATGTGCATCAATCGATCTAGATTTCTTAAAATGTTCCATTCATTCACATCTAATATAACTGCTGCCAAATTTACAGATATGAACAATGGTATATCTAATCCACATTTTGGCTGTGCAAAGAACACCAACACATCTACTCCAGGATGGGCGTTTGAGAAAAGCACAGCTTGAACACATATGGGTGCTTGCCATCTGAAAATAATATAGTACGATATGATTCAAGAACTTCCAGGTTTGGACATCAGGTAATATCAAATCAACACTTTAAAAAAACTTAAATCGATACATCAGTTAAGATCTATCACAAAAATGTAAACCATTAACTTAAGATTGAGTTACACATCACGTAAAATTTTTCTCAGGTGTACTCCACAATTCACTTTAAGGTCAAAAAAATTAATTAGAAAAGATTTGAAATCAGCTAATAAGTGACAGTCTCAAAATTTTACAAAAACAAAAGTAATCTAATTTACTTATTATTATTATTATTTTTTTTTTTTTTTTAAAGAAAAGAAAAACTTACTTGGATTAGGAATCTCTGCATGGTTGGCACAGACCAAAGCCTCTATGGCATCAGCCTTGGCCTCAAACTCTATCAAACCTGTAGAACTGCGCTCAGCTGGAATTAAAGAACAGTTATGATTTTTTAAAAAACAAATTGTAGCATTATTTCCCCCACATTCATACACAAGTTCTTGTTTAAGGTTTAGACATAGATGCCAATCTTCAGATCACTTTTGTCCCACTTTTAGCATTTTTACATTCTAGTTATATAAATAGTCTTCCCATTTAGAAATTAATATAAAAACACTCATAGACAGAATAACTCACATTTGGCTGGGAATTGTTTCACTCTCATGGGTGGCTTTGCACCTGCAGCTGCAATTGTCTGCAAGGAAAAAGAAACAGGACCACTGCTTTACTGAGACGGGATAGGTGGGTAAATGTATGATTCATTTGTAAAATAAAAATAATAAACTCAAGTTAATTTCTTTCTTTTTTTTTTTTTTTTTTTTTTACAAATTGTCACAGACCGCTTGGAGAAATTTCCAACTACATGCTTACTATATCGCATAATTGTGATACTTAAAGACAAGGTATCAAACACATAAACCATTTGGCAAAAGCATTGGCAACACACACACACACATACCTCTTTTATCTCAGTCTCTGTAATATGTGGTGGTGCATTGTAGTAGTGAAGCACCTTGGCTGGTGGAGTAATTCTGTTCTTACTGGCTGCCTCTGGGTTAGTGAACCTATTGTTTCTGTTGCCCATGTAGTCTTTGAAGGATGGCGTGCCGTCAGGCAGGTCATGGGGGTTAGGCACATCCTGCAGGAAGGCTTGCTTTGAATAACTGTAATACATATCAAATTATTGGTTCTGATACACATTTTGATTCATTTTAGACCTATTTCTGGTTATAGTGTTAATATCCTGTTTGATGATGTCAACACTGCTGTTAACTCATGTATAATTTGACCATTTAAGTAAAAGTAATGACAATGGCATGAACAAAACAATACCAATATGGCTGTTTTTAAAATCTGACTTGGTCCCTTATTTAGGTTTGAAGGTGAAACTGCTTGCATATTACACCCAAGTTCAACATAATCCACAAAGGCCTTAGCTCGGACAAACTGAATGCCGTCTCTTTCTAGTTTATTTATCTACTTGATAAACTAGAGGATCAGAGAGGCGATACCGCCTCCGAATATTGTACCACCAGCTGGAGCAAGCGCATTCGTATAGACCCCCACATACACAAAATAAGGGACATAGCCACCAGTTTTGTGCTTGACAAGCTGTAAAAATGCAATCAACAAGAATTTTTAAACTATTGCAAAAAATATATATGGTATAATCAAATTTAAGTTCTTCNGTGTCTGTACATAAAAAATGATAAACTCAAGCCAATAGTGCAAAATTAATTTCTTTTTTTTACAAATTGTTTGTCACAGACCACTGGGAGAAATTTCCAACTACATGCTTACTATATCGCATAATTGTGATACTTAAAGACAAGGTATCAAACACATAAACCATTTGGCAAAAGCATTGGCAACACACACACACACATACCTCTTTTATCTCAGTCTCTGTAATATGTGGTGGTGCATTGTAGTAGTGAAGAACCTTGGCTGGTGGAGTAATTCTGTTCTTACTGGCTGCCTCTGGGTTAGTGAACCTATTGTTTCTGTTGCCCATGTAGTCTTTGAAGGATGGCGTGCCGTCAGGCAGGTCATGGGGGTTAGGCACATCCTGCAGGAAGGCTTGCTTTGAATAACTGTAATACATATCAAATTATTGAATTAATATATATTTTGATTCATTTTAGACCTATTTCTGGTTATAGTGTAAATATCCCGTTTGATGATGTCAACACTGCTGTTAACTCATGTATAATTCGACCATTTAAGTAAAAGTAATGACAATGGCATGAACAAAACAATACCAACACGGCTGTTTTTAAAATCTGACTTGGTCCCTTATTTAGGTTTGAAGGTGAAACTGCTTGCATATTACACCCAAGTTCAACATAATCCACAAAGGCCTAAGCTCGGAAACTGAATGCCGTCTCTTTCTAGTTTATTTATCTACTTGATAAATGAAGCATTTTGTAAGATTATGATACTGCAAGGGTCAGCAAACAAAAAGTGTATGTAAACGCTTTTATTCATTCAAAGTTTATTATCATGAAATATGGGCAAATAGTACCTGTGGTTCAGACTTACCCAAGCTGCAGTTTGTTTTCAAAGAAAAATGTGTTGTTGAGATTTTGAATAGCTGATGATACTGTCGAGGCGTCTCCCATTTGAACCATGGCTGCTCCATCTTTACTCTTCAGAAACTTCACCTAATAAAACATTTCAATTACATTCAGGTTTTAATTTCACTCATACAACAGTAACTCTTCTAGTACAATTGAAATCATTATGTATAATTATTAGTTTTTTTAACACCTTCTGCAGGGTTTGTTATCAGACATAACACAGCAAGTAAATTGTTCAGGAAAAAAATCTAAAAACAATAGCATATAAATCCTCTGCAAAGTCATTTCTAACTAATAAAACAAATAATACAATGAAATGTCAGCTGCCTTTCAATAATGAACCCGACTACTTTTGCACAGATTCATTCAATAATATAATCCCTAAACCACATTCACGTCACTCACCCTGACCACATTCCCATACAGACAGAACAAGTTGAAGATCCTGTCACAGTTCATCTTCTCGCTATTCAGTCCATACACCATCATGACTGCCCCCTGGACAGGGACATTGGCCCCTGGGGGCCCTTGTTGACCATAGCCCTGCTGACCATAGCCATCTGACCCACCGCGGCCATAAGGGGTGGGCTGAAGGGGGGCACGCCCATAGGGATCCTTAAAAACATTTCATTTTCAAGATGCAGGAATTCAACAAAATTCTGTTTTTTTTTTTCGACTAATTTTACCTGAATATGTAGCACAGAATACAATTTTTTCCCAGCTAAGTAAGATTTACCAGTGTGATTATGTTATGAAAAAGAAATATGATAGCATGTGTAAGAGGCAAAATGAGGTGCCTTCTTAATCTTTCCCTTCAGACAAATCTTAAATTTAGCATTTCTAACCAAGCACAATCTTTGTCTTCCCAGTCTACAGAAATCAAGTATGAATTCCAAAATGATAATGTACCCATGAGTTTACCTGTCCGTACCGTCCTCCCTGTCCACCATACTGCTGGTTGCCATAGCCACCATATCCACCACCCCAGTAGTCATAGCCATCCCCCTCCATACCATAGTTACTAGCAGCTGGGGGAGGTGGAGGTGCCCCTGGTCCACCACTTCCTGCTGAATAGAAGGGAAGACCACTTAAAAGCTGGGTTAAGTTGGAAGATACAGATGACCAAACGCACGTTTCTTTCTCCATGGAGCCCAGCAGTGATATATTCTTACAATAGGCAATTCTTCAAAAAATTTTAATTAATTCATTTTATTATTTTTATATTTACCAAAGACTCTTAAGTACTCAGATAATGGAATGCTTTCAAATAAGCTTCAAGGTAATGTTAAAAAGCAGACATCATATCAAAATGTGTGTCCTTTCCAAATTAAACAAATGGTGCATTATTCCAAACATGCTTTATGTACTGTTTCCTAGTATACATTCAAGATAAGGCTACTACAACCCCCTTTGGTGATCAACACATACTGTATGGTTGAGGAGCAAGCCCATATCCCTTGGGTGTCTCCAAAAGCGGCTTACTCTTGGGGGCCTGAGGAATATTTGCTGGAAAAGCAGAATAAAGAAATAACATCCCAGTTGTCTGATTTAAATTACATTTCTAAAAATGTATGATGAATTAGATAACTATTTCTATTAGACATACTTGTATAGCTAACAAATTGTCATTTTTGAACCATGGCATATATTACATTTAAAAACTATTACAAATAACAATAAACTGAATGTGATTTTTATCTGAAAAAAAGATATCATTAACAAATATACCACAAAACAAATACATTTCATGTACACAAAAGAGAGAAAAATGCTGCACTCCTTGCAATTATATACAAATCACAATTTTCTTCTTAAATTGATTTTCTTAAAAAAAACCTCAGATATCATATGGAAACTAGGAAACTAAAATACATATACAGTCGAATTGCACCACAATGGTTAGGAAAAAAAACACTGAATAATATAAGGCATGGTTTTTAAAACTATATTCACAAAACATACCGAGGTTACCTCTGCACTTCCTTCCCTACCTCTTTCCATGCTCAAAATACCTTGACCAAGACTGGATGGACAACTACCTCACAGGCATCCAATCCTATATACAATAGTACATAAAAAAATACACCTCTACCCAACACACATCTTTTGTGATACTGTACATGTTGGTGACCTGTCTGATGTATAAAAATATTCATGTGGGCACATATTGTTCGGTTTTTGTCATATCCTGGAGTTGTGCTGTAGACTGTACTATATTGTAAGCATGCAAAGTAATATCCCATGGGGCATGGTACATTTTGCTTATGGTAAAGGTAGTCGTCTTACAACATTTATGTAGGAAAAACCTGTCTTGTCTTAGTGTATAATGCCTTATTTGATACTGTATAGCTAAGGTAACCAGGTAAGTAAGTAATTACCAACTTAGCAGTATGTGTGACCTTATTATAAATACAAGTACTTTTTTAGTGCATAAACACTTAAAATTAAACTACAGTAGAAACATGTTATTCAAATATGAGATATACTAAATCTGAGCCCCATTTTTCTGCTCCCCCATCTAAATCTTGTAATGTTTATGCAATGTTCTAGATGACATGTATGGCAAAGATTACATAAAAATTGTTTAGTGGAATATTTCATATTTTTCATGCATACAATTATAAATAAGTTTATGTAAACTGTACATCTTTCCAAGTAAAAAATACAGATATTGTCCTTGTCAAAGCATTGGCACGCTTTGGGCATGTTACAGATTTTTGTGAAATTTAATTTATAAACATGTTTCACATTTCTAAACATTAAGGAACAAAGAAGGAAGCTAAATCTGTGAAAAATAAGGGCCATTTTTTATGAATTTGTGTAAATATGACTTGCATTTAAAAAGAAGCTACCAAAAAAATATATATATATATTTAAAAAAAAAAAAGATAAAAGGTTCACAAAACTGCCCCAAAATAAAAACTTAGCGAGTACAACTTATCACTGTGTATGCCTGCTTCTGTTCAATCATAGGTCTTCTTCTTGTGATCTGTTGGTTGCAATGTTGTGCTTCACTACATCTGAATGCTAGTCTGTATTTGCATAAGAAACTCCAGTTTTGAAGTGGAGCAGGAGAAAAATAGCACACATGAAGTACAGGTAACTGTCAACTGAGATATGTTGAATGAAAAAAAAAGGCACACACAAAACAGTTAAATAGCTTTACAGGCTATACTGTTGTAATGGAACAGATGGATTGGAGAGAGTTGAAAAAAAGAAGATATCTCTGTATGACAGCTGTAATGCACTGGTTTCAAGTTTTTTCAGTACCACACCAACAGTTGTTGTTGAACTGCACTTATTACTGTTTGTTGTTTACTTGCGTGTACGATATCAGCTGAAGCTTGCCTGGTTGTGGTAAGTATAGTGGTGATGCACAATGAGTTGCTGTGTTTTCCTTGACGGTTATTTTGAAAGTTACTGTAACTGGATAGCGCCTTGAGAGCTGGATGATTGCTGCTTTGTATGGTGTTGATGTGCCCAAGGATGTTGAATGTACCCAAGCATGTTTGCGCATCATGCACTGCTCGAGTCATGCTGCATGTCTCCCAGTTTGTGGTATATGAGCTTCTGCTTGTCTGTGTTTAGTACTGGTCTCTTGTATTCATGGTCTGTAGCAGTGAGTGGCTCTGCGTGTTTCTTGTATAACTGACTTCTTTTTTTTTTTTTTGCACAATTTCAAAGTGACATAATGAGCCACAGTATTTGACTTGTTATATAGTTGCCTCCATGTCTAATTATTTTAAATATTCCCAAGAATTTGACCAAAAGTTATAACATTCAGATATTTTAAAACCCAACTTAACAATCGAAACTATTTTTATCTGGGGAAATCTTAAAATAGAAGCAAAGATTTTCAAATACTGTGGCATCATTTTAAACATCATAACATGTCTAAGATTTCTTAAAGTACATTATCGAATAACTTACTTTACCACTATCAATGTGCATTTAAAATAGAACTGCAACAAATATTGTTTCTGTAAGAGTACTCAATACACTGAAATCAATTTCTTATATATATAGCTCGTTCTCACCTCCAGGATTAGGATTGGTGTAGTCCCAGCTCTCACTGTCATTTTTATACACATTCAATGTGGTAGGCTAGTGTAGAAAAATAAAGCAAGTACTACACAAGCTTACATACAACATGAAAAATGAACATGGAAATTTTATACCTGTCTGTGTCTGAGACAATAATTTTTAACTGAATTTTCAAAGTTTTGAATATCTAAAGAGATACATTTGTCTTAATGCTTAAATCTTTCAACAAGTTTATTTCCACCTTAGAAAAACATTTAACCTCAACAAAAAGGAAAAAAACATGGTCTTGACTAAATTCCAACAGTATACTTCCTACCTTGGCAAATTCCATCTTGAGAGTACAACAACCAGAGTAAATATCAGCACCATTCAAAGCTTGTTTGGCTCTCTGAGCAGATTCAATACTGTCAAATGTGTGACAGTTAAAGAAAAATCAGTACATATGTGGTTCAATTTAAAAATATGTATATAACTTGTAAATTCAATTTTTATTAGCTTGCTTAAACCCGATGCCTGAAGCAACAAAAAATTGCAGTTGTATTTCAGAAAAAGGCTCTAATTCACAGGGGAAGAGTTTCAACTCAAAAATAAATATAAAAAATTCAAGATCAAAGATAAAGGAAAAGAGTTCAAACTGCATAATTTGTCAAGGATATTCCACCATAGCCTGCACACCATTCTTCTTGAAGATAACAATACGGAGGACCTGGCCATTAGGACTGCAGATTGTGTGTAACACATCCTATATGAAAGAGCAATATTTACAAAACACCACTTCACTACCAATTATGAAACATAATGACTTAAAAATCTAAAATAAAATCAACAAATTTAGAAAACGATAAAAGTAAACTACATTTTACTTATTATATGTATTTCAGTTTGACTTTATACTTATTACATGAATGAGGTGTATGTTTGAGCAAATGCTTATAAAAAACAGAACAATTTTGCATAAACAACTCCTAGTGAATACTCCAAGCTCATTTAGAGCTGAAATGACCAAGGTTAGCTTCAAGGAAACTATGACATTTAGATAAACAAATTACCCAAAGGTGAACTTACAACTGTAATAGGGTACTGTGGATTGAGAACTGTTATCAGCAGAACCTTGTTGGCAGCCTTTGGATCATCTGGGCCACTGAAAATTTATACATCAAATTACCTCTTTCCTTTATCTGAAATGCACTACAGTGACTACAAGATATCTGAAAATTAAACTGTGTTTGCAAGATTCACAAATTTGTATGATATATAAAAATGCTTTAAAACACCCACTTAGTCTAATAGCTAAATAGATATGAATTAGTCTGAGTATCACTACGTGCACAATGATTCATTTACTTACCCGGACCTTTGTATCTTTTGACTGGTAGAATAGTTGAAAAATGCAGGCATTCCTTGCACATAGATCTGACTAGTCTACAGAAGGCAAGCATATGATCAATGTCACATATAGGGAATATACATATAAAAGAATGTCTCATCAAGAGATTTATGCAAAAGTAACAATGAAAAGGTACTTTATAAACTTCACAGTTGTGTTAACTACATAAAAAAAACATCATTCATTACATCTGCTGTAATATGCTTGCTAAAATATGCTGTTCACAGATCATTAAGAAAACTAATCAATCATCACTGTAACAATGTCTTGATATATATATATATTTTTTTAAAATATGTTTTTAAGGATGAATTCTTCATTTCCATATAATACTTTACCTGTGCATATTTTATCAGACTTATGGCTCCATTGATATCCTGGAAATAGTAAATTAATTTCCTCATCCACTGGTTTACTTTGTGAAACTGTCTTAAAGTACTTCAGTCACAACATTCGTCATCTTTTAAAATTCTGAGTGAAGTTAATTTTCAAATTCCAATTATTAAGAAATAAAATAACAAGTTATTTACAAAAATCAATTACTAGTAATACATACATCAAACTCCACTAGTGCTTGTCTTTTCCTGGGCATCATAATCACATACCTTAAAAAATCAACAATATGCATTTACTAGTCACTCAAACAATGCAACAATGGAGCATTTTTTTTTACCAAGTTATCAAGTTACATGACATTATTACATCAACTTGAAAGTAATATATATTCAAAAAAGACTCATTATCTCATTAAGAAGATTTCTCACGTTATCCACAAATTGGACATTAATGCTTACCCAATAGTTCCAAAATGCTGCAGTGCTTCAATTAAATCATTCTCAATGACTCTCTCTGACAGCCCACGTACATGGATCACTGGAGACGGAGAGGGTTTGTGTGGGTCTTCATAGTTATCCTGAATAAGCATAACCATATGTAATCTGATTATGACAATGTTTTCGGGTATTTACTGGTATTCATTCTAGTTTTTATTTTTTCTAGACATTTTATAATTAGTAAGAACCACCCATGGTGCAATTCAATATAAAAAGGGCAGTAGAATAAGGGGATATCTATTTATTCACATTGATTCTGGGTCCTACCTGGATCTCTTTCTTAAATTTAGGTGCATTTTATAAAAATTTCAGTACCCCTCTCCCCCCCCCCCTTTTCAAATGCCGGTGTTTCAATCCACCAAGAACATTCCACTTTCACTGTTTCTCAACAGATTAAACAGAACCATCATTTCAGATACGTCAACCGAATGCGTACATGCTTGCTTTGTTTGGTTCAACTTTATCAACATAGTCAATGGCGAGGGACCGGCTAGGTCAATGCAAGGTCGTTAAATGCATTGTATAAGTTGACGCTAGAAAACCAGATAAAAGTGCAACATTTGCATAGTGTTTCAAATAATTAAATTAAGCTTACAGATTGTGCTGATGTTATTCCTCTACCATCATTTTCGGTTCTTAATCTTTTCGTAGCGTGACCCTCGTACGACGCCATCTTGCTTGCAAGTACTCGTCTCGTGTGTCCGTGGACGGTTTTGTTACTTGCAATTCTTTTTAAAATTACAGAGCAGTTAGCTCTACGCTTTGATCCCAAGTTTAAATTTTTTACATTTATTTTTTACTGCAACAAAAACAGCTTAGTAAATCAATCAAAATAAAAAAAGAGTATGACCTTGAACTCACGTATGATAGTACTTTGTCAAGTTCGTTTACCAAGCAGCAGCCGGTGCTGATAATCTTCTTTAAACACTTGAGTTTACAACGAACCCAGAAGATGACAACCATCGAAAAAGGAGCATATGGGAAAACGAAAGATGGAAAAATTGTAGACAGGTTCCGTAGATCCATGCTTAGTTAAATTGTTAACAGTCTATTTGTGGTTTAAACTTTAATTGATAAACCTTCCACTGGCACCTCGGAGAAAGGCCTTACATGCACTATACTTGACCGTCATGCACTGCATATGGGTTTTTACTCTATCTCTTTCTTATTGCGGTCTAAGCCCAGACAGTATCTTATCTGTGAATTCGCTTAACTGACCTTAATCCTTATTTCGCCTTAGCAGAGAAAAGTAGTGCATATACAGTTATTGAACTTTGATGCATTTTAGATTTTTCCTTGGTATTGCAGTGCTGCAACCCACAGAAGTCTATATCTAAATTAAATTAAATTATTTTAATTACTCATTTGAATTTAAATTATTCTTTTACTTTTCAGCAAAATTGATCACATAGGACATTGATTTATTTTATTATGTTTTAAGATACACTCTTAAGAATCAGAATGGCATGACTGTTGAAATCATCACTTTTGGAGGAATCATCACTAAAATCATTGCCCCAGATAAAGATGGAAAATTAGATGATGTTTGCCTGGGCTTTGATAATATGGAAGGTACATTAGAAAAAAAGACTATTAATACAAATATATAGCCATATATTTTTATAAGCATTTTTAAGTTGCAAATGCATGCATTTTGTAAAAGCACAGCAAAAACAACAAAACAAATAAACATTGGCTGCTTTCAGTTTGAGTCGAATATCATATAATCAGCATAATATCTGATAAAGAACAATATGGCTTAATAATTGTGAACAAGGCAAAAGACATAAACTTATGCTTATTTATAAATTTTCATTTCACAGGTTATGAGGCAAAGCACCCATATTTTGGTGCTCTTGTAGGCAGGGTTGCCAATCGTATTGCTGGTGGAAAGTTCACTCTAGATGGCAAGACTTATGAACTGGCTGTGAACAATGGACCAAATCATCTGCATGGAGGGCTCAAGGGATTTGACAAGGTTATACTGAACAGCATATTGATATTGTGTTTTTATTTATTTGTAATAAAATAAGATTTTTAAAAGGATTTTTAAAAAGAAAGAGAGAGAGAGAGGGGAGTCACAGAAAACACTGAAATCATCCATACCATTAGAGAAAGGTTGATTTGATCTTCAAGTATGTAGTGTTTGTTTTCTTGTTTTTTTTTTTTTTTTGTTTGTTTGTTTTTGTTTTAAATGTTAATGTTTTTGTCAAGACAAAGACTTGTCATTAGTTAATGATTTTAATTGACATTACTGTTGCTCCATATTAAGATATGTTTTATTGTATATATATCCCTTTTCCCCTCTTTCTACTGACTGTCATTTTTTCTTTTTTTTTAAATAATTGCCTCAGTTTTTTACCTTCCCTTTGAATCTCCCCAGGCTGTGTGGACCACCAATGTAGAGGGGACTAAGCTTCACTTAACTCATACTAGTCCAGATGGGGATGAAGGCTATCCAGGGGAAATGACCGTCCATGTGACGTATGAATTGACCAGTGAGAATGAGCTTATTCTGGACTATTCTGCTACCTCAACTAAAGCAACACCCATTAATCTGACCAATCATGCTTATTTCAATCTAGCTGGACAGGTTTGTCAAAAATTCCAACATTTTGAAGGTTAAGCATTTCTCTTGATAGAAGGACAAATATACAAATTTTATATCTATGATAATAACCTATTTGAGAATTATTTGAGCTATTGAAATGAAAATACATAAGCTATAATTTTTCTCCTATTCAAGAAAGTTTGTTTAGTGATAAATGCTTCACTGCATGTTTAGTAAAAATGTGATGTAAATCTAGTAAAATTTATAACAGGTATGTTTGTATGTTTATTTTTGTGATTTTTCAGGGTACAGCCAATGTTTATGATCATTATGTCACCATTAATGCTGAGACTTTCACACCTAAGGATGAAAACAGCATTCCAACAGGTAAACGAAAGTCTTAAATATTTCTATACAAACTGCACATTTGATACTACAGGTCAGCTGTGCCTTGAATTAAAAGAAAAAGATGCCCATAGGACATTTTTTCATAAATATTTGAAAAATAGCCAGATCAACAGTATTTTTAGATGGATTTCTTTTATTGTTGAAACTGATACGGTATACAAGTAGTGTATGTACTTTGCTTTTTATCAGATTTGGCAGATCTTATCCCAGAAGCACACCATTTGCAGATTTTGTGAAACATCACTGAAATATTTTAATATTTTAACATTTAAAAATGTAATAAATTTTAAAAATTGAACTTCAAATTGACAAAATAAAAAGGATGTTTAATTTTTGAAAGATGCATTTCGTGTAATCTTTCAGGTGAGATTGCCAGTGTTGAGGGCACAGTATTTGACCTCCGCAAGCCAGTAAGAATAGGAGACAGAATTAATAATGTTCCTGGAGATAAGGGTTATGATCATAACTTCTGTGTTGGAGAGAAGAGAGAGAGGAAACACATTGCAAAGTAAATATGATTCCATTCCCATACTCATATGAGTAATTTGGTCTAAAAGTTGACTAACTTCAATATTTTACCTAATTTTTACTAAGACACTAAGACCTTGTATATTATATCAAAGATATAAACAATGGTTTCAGAATTATTTGATTTTTAAAATTATCTGAGTGTAAAGAAGTACTTATTATATTTTTGTCAAGACTAAAATTTGCCATAAGTAAATGTATTTAATTGACAGTTATTGTTACTATTTAATTATTGAATATTTTTGATAAACAACTTATTGAGAATTTGAAATTCTACAGAGTTGAGCACAGGGCCAGTGGTCGTGTCATGGATGTGTACACAGAGCAGCCGGGAGTCCAGCTCTACACTGGGAACTATTTGGCAGGAATCAGTGGCAAAGGTGGTGCCATCTATGGACAACATTCTGCACTTTGCCTTGAGACACAAAATTACCCAGATGCTGTAAACAAGGTGATTATATAACTCTTTGAAGGACTCTGTATGTAAATGTTGGTTTACCTTTAGTTCAAATGTTCAAATGTTTGTCACTTTTGCATTGAAACCTCTATCAATTTTTTCTCTGATGGTAATTTTCTTTTTGAAAATATTGCATTAATTATGCTCTCCTTTTGTTATCTTTTTTGATACAGTTGCAAATATTGGTGTTCTCAAAATGTGTTAATTTTCTCTGTTGTAACATTCAGTGTTTGATCTTTAGCTTTTCAAAATGGAACTATTTAGTGTTTGTTTATTTTCAGCCCAATTTTCCCAATGCCATTCTGAAGCCAGGGGAGACCTACAGACACACCACCTCCTACAAGTTTTCCACTCAGGCTTAAGGCTTTCATAAGAACCATTTACAGGTGGTCATCTACCAGTTAACACCCATTTTATATGTGTTGTTACTATCAGATTGGTATTTTTGATAACACGATTTGTTATAAAGGTTGCCTGGTGACAATATGTCTTCCATAGATATGTGTATGTTTTTATGTACCTACTTGTTATCTGCTCTTGTTGCTAAACTCTGAAAAATTCATAGTTTATTTACTAGCATATTCAGCATATGTGCCTGTTATGATGCAGTGCAGTAGTGCAATTTATAAAGTGCAAATAATGGTGTGCAATGCTGTTACATTATGACGCATTTTAAAAGGATTAGTATTTCCATGTGTAGTATGCAATAATGTTTCTGATTTCATTGCATGGTTTTAGTGATTTTTCATCCTGAAAAATTTAAAATATTCATGTGTGATTTGAAGTGCTTTTGGATTCTTGTATCAAGTTGGTTGTCAGCGGCTATTTCATGCTGTTTGTTAGTCTTATTGATAGATATATTTTTTACCAAAGGTTGGATCTTAATTTGATAACATGTTATGATGTGCAAATTTAAGATAGTATCTGAATTATACCGAGCATCATTTGGGTTTATAACTTGATCAGAAAGAAGTTTATGTCTTATATGGTGCTACAAGAAAATAGAATGATAGATATAGATTAAGGTTTTGATAATGGTTTGATGAGTATATTTACTGCTGTGTTTATCAGTATTACTTTTGTTTTATAATAATATTATAACCATGGTACAGTTCAGCCTGGGTTACTGATGACTTCAGTCTTCACTTCTCCATTGTGCCAAGATATACGTACTCTTTGATTAAAGAAATATTTTAAAGAAACTGCCAAACTAACAATGCAGTGGCATATATATTATGCAAATTTTGATGATTAATATGTCTCCATTCAACTTACTAGGGGGAAATATCTTAAAAAAACGACCCAATGTTTGATTTTGATTGATTGTTGCGATATTGAAAGCTTTTGAATATTTTATGCATTCAATTGTAGTGCCTTTGATTGATGGATAAGGCTTGGTAGAAGTTGTATTTTTTCCGCACCATCACCGGTGTGCTTGTTATGTAGGTGATAGTAAAAAATTCTACAGATGATTATTTGAGAGCCGCCTACTGCCATTTACATTAAATATTGATACATTGATATTTGACAGTACTCCCAATATTGTAAACTGTCATAAATTTGTCTATTAAATTCCCTGAGGAAGATTGGTATAGAAATTATGAAATGGAAGTGTTTTATTTTTTGATTATGTCACCTATCATACAAATGTTTAAAATGTAAAAGATACAAGCTTTAAAATGGGGCTAAAGTTTTAAAAAGAAATATCGTGGCAAAAGTATTGGTTTTCATTTTTAAATGAAATTCGTGTCTTTTTTTTTTTTTTTTTTTTTTTTTTTTTTTTCCACATCTTTCTAAGACTGGGTTCCCATGCCTAGATCGATCCATTTGGATCGATATATCTCCCTGGGGAGTCTCACTAAATAGCTATCAACTTAACCTGCTTAAATGTCGGTCACGCCTACCGAATCAGCTAGGGGGTAAAGATAATTACTCCCTAACAACTTTACTAGACGTGACAGACGTTTAAGCTGGTTAAGTTTACAGCAAATTAGTGCGACTCCCCTGGGAGATAGATCAATCCAAATATATGTGGGAATGGTCCCTAACTCCGCGTCTCTAATTAACCATGCACCTCTATCTTTCTACACATCTCTCCCTATCAACATCTTCCCATTCTCTGTCTTTCTGTGTTCCCCTATCTCTTAACTAACTTTTATAATCTGAACGTGACAAAAAAAAAATAATAAAATAAAAAATTGCTAGGTAAGGCATATGCTCGATTTTGAAACAAAGCTCAATTAACAATTAATAATGGATCACACATCAAGGTGCAGCAGAGTGATAACCATTTCAGTTTTTCGAAAATAATGAATATGTGGAACCGTCACGATAGCAGACCAGAATAAGCACACGTGCTAATCATTCTTTGATTAATGGGCTCTATGTTCAACTATATTTCGCGAACAAACGTCAGCGCCAGATATGGTTTAGCAAGGCGAAACATCTCCTCTCAATCACTTGTGTCGCTCATGAATAACGAGTGTCTCTTTATGATATGGGCGTTAAGTGCTGCATGGCTACAACTATTAGCAAGGATGTTAGCTTTATGAGATGTAAACATATCTTCTGTGTGATATATAGACTGAGGAGTGGGCATATGGAACTTCAACACAGCACAATTGCCGGCAACATGAAGGACGGTAACGGCGCAGAAACAGATAGCGATCTTGGACCTCGGTTGACTCTTGTAGCAAAAAGTGAACCAGATAATGAAAGCAATAAAGATGGATATGATCTACGCCTGCCATTAAGAGAAAAACGCTCCCTTAATCCGCTTCGACCCAACCAGCCAATTGTAGCACGGAGACGAGCGAGTTTACCCACCAACAGCACCAACAATGTAGATTTTGTAATGAAAGAAGTGAGGCGGTCACTTGAATTTAATGTCGTCGCGAACAGAAATCGCATATCCACAAGCATTGGAGACGGAATACGAGAGACTTTACAAAACAACATTGGCCAGAAAGTGTCATCGAATCAAGCGAATGCAGAACCGAAACGTGAACTCAGTTCGCACGAAAGAAGTAAATCATCCCCGCTAGAACAGGGTTTAAGTGGATGTGAAGACGAAAAGGAATTGGTGTCTCGCACGGATGATCCCGCAATTCGTACCCCTACAAAATATAAACCCGTCGATAATGCGTTTGTATTAGCAGATAGCTCGCAACGTTATAGACCGACCGGCCTGCGAAGAAAATCGATTCAAGTCGACGGCACGGAGGGGCTCCGTGCTCCCGGTAGGCTTGAACTCCGGCGGTGCTCTCTCCCTGATTCCCAGAGGATCTCGCACAAGGAAAGTTCCGTGGCAACTTTGACACCAAGAATTAAACCTGTTGTAAAGGACGGAGGGGAAGAAGCATTCCAATCGAAATAATTGCATGGTGCATTGCATGATCAATATGATTTAAGGGGTTTTCTTGGAAAATAATCGTAAATCAGACAAAAAGCACAATTGATGACCAAATGCATTATATCATAAATATACAATCCATAATTTACAATGACTGTTTTGCTTTCCCAGCAAATGGAAATGGAGTACAGTTCATTCGACGATGGCATACTAAATAAGTCATACATGTATATGTCATACCTGTTATTCACGCAGGAAACAATGCGTGCAACATTCTTTTTTTTTTTCTTTTAAAATATTCGACGTGCGTTTAGATTTGTGCAAAGTCAGATTATGATAAAACGCAGTCCGAGCATTAGGTCCTATACTTTTCAATACAGCAACAGGTCCGATAACCCTGAAAACAGAGTCAACTTCCTGTGTGAGTTTTTAAGTTAGCGCACTAATTTCTCAATAAAGTGCATCCTGCAGCGACGGAAATGCAAACAAACATTGGTTTTGCAACATGCTAATGATAGAAAAGAATACACAAATGGAATTTTGTATATTCATTATATTAAACCCTATTAATGTATATTTTGTCATATGTAAGGCTTAAAAGTAGCTTACGTATGAATGATTGATACAATCACGTAATGGCAAGGTTAATCCTTCGTAATTGCTTTCAGTTTAGCATCAGGTTTAAATAAAAAACTTAGAGGTTAATCCAAAGTTTGTGAAAAGGTCTGATATCCCCACTCAAAACGAAGGCGCTATTTAAACCTTCTACCACCGGGTAGTCTAGATGAAATTTTAGCCATTGGTCGTGATGCCCCGTCTTACAGGCCCTTTGCTTATTATAACACAAAGATACAAATATATATATACATATATGCTACAGGCATTGCAAGAGCTTAGTGAGAAATGATGGGAACCTTTAAGACGGTCCTTTAGTCTTCATTTCTATAGTTAATATTTTTAAAACAGGACCTGATCAGCCATCCCTCTTTTAAACAGTGCGATAAGCTCTTCTAAAAACTGTATAAATCACCGTTCCTACCGTCAAAATCTAAATACGTTTCATTTTTAGGGAGAAGTCAAAAGTCTTATTGGTATCTAACGGTAAACACACAAACCTCAGAAAGTCATTTTAAACTGAAGGCCTGTAAGCTTTCATATGCAAAAATGGCAATCGGTTTTACCATGACGTGAAAACGTTCTTCTTTTAGGGGTACGTGGTAAATTCTGAAATCATTAAAAAAATAAAATGTATCTGAAAGAACCCACGCGCTAGTATTTCCCAGTAACCACCGCGGTACGCACCCGCCAACGGGAATGGTATGCTAGCAGAAGTAAATATATATTTTAACCAAAGACTACTTTTTTACAGCCCGGTATAATGTTATAATATGTATCAAAATCAATAAACCAGACGTTCTTCTTCTTCTTTGGCAATTTTTATATTACACTTTTTAAATTTTGTGCAGGCACCCTTGGTAGATTTATATTATACATAGGCCTATGTTATACATTTCCCCAAAACTCATTAACTCAATTTTTAATGACTAAAATAAACAGACTTTTTTGACATCATGCCAAACAGAACAGTTCGCAAGCGCAGGCAAACGTCAAGACATCTTTCATTTAAACAAAATTTTATCAGTGGCATGCTGGTGCTTTCTGTGCCCTGAAATGTGTCAGAAGTGCTGTCTAATTGCTACAGATGTGCCAAGACAATGCGCTCAGATACTGGTATGCTATCTACGACTGCGAAATGGTGTCCTTGTTATTGGCAAGGAGGTAAGTTACAGCATCCATACAGGATCACGAGACATTTTAAGATATAAATCCTTTAAAATAAAAATACCAAGTGCAGTGAGTTTATTTTTATTTCTTTTTCTTTACGTAGAATTTAGTCTCCAGACATTTGTAAGAATGAATTAGAATTTTACGTTTAGGCAAATTTACACATTGTTATATCAAATACTGTATCATTTCTTGTAAATCTTGTCATGAATTACCAAACGCCTCTAAATTTCCTTTGCCTTTTATAACCTTTAAAGAATATTAAAAATCTGTTGGATCTTAAAATTTATGTTGTGAAGTGTTCGTGTTTTCTTTATTTTCATGTTTTTTTTTTCTATCTACTGGTCTTTAAATGACTCTCATTGTAAGCATCATCACAACATTTACGTAAGAGGACGGTTATTTATGCCAAAAAGACTTGGTAGTATATGGCCAACAGAAATAGCCTACACATGTACATGCATTTATGTATATGCAATATGTATGTAGGCCTCAGTCAGAACCGAACAGTTTCAATGCCTCTATATATCTATTCAAGCTCACTCTGCACACCCGTGTCTTGACTGTGGATATGCTACACGCATTATTATACCATTAACTTGCAAGGAGATAGGCTGCCTTTTTCTTCTAATCACTATAATGGACAGTATGTGTAAAGTCATCCTGCACCAAATATCCGCATTGCCCAAATGTGTTAGAGTGCTTTAAGCCTTGAAGCCAGGGATATAATCTTACGCAGCTGTCAATAGACTATTCTTGTCTTTTACTAGGGTAGTCAAAACCATAGGGATACGATCTGATTGGGAGATGGTGTCATTCTCCTATCATTACAACATAATCGGACAACTACAATGTACATACAAGTCACTGACTATTGCGCACGGGCTTTCAATTCAACCATGTATCGATTATTTCGAGAGGATGAACTGAATCATATTTACAAGATGAACCTTTCCTATTATCGTGAATATATAATCTTAACCTGCTAATTAAAAGGTGCGAAGCAGTAGAACGTGTTAATGCACGTTTTTGTGAATTCTTTTGTGTAAGTCTCACCTGTCGCCGCAATACAATATTTATAATCCAATTCCGTTCTCATCTGCATAGCACGTTACGCACCAAAACACTTTTAAGTGGCGAGTGTATGAAGTGTTTAAAATTAATCGATTTACACAATCGTCTACTATTGCGACCCTAAAAATATATTAGATGGCAGTGTCTTAAACCTCTGCGAGGCAATCTAGTATTAGCTTTCCTCGAAACACAAACATAGCTTGTTGCATCCATTGATGCGTATTGATTAGGTTTAAATATTTTATCAGCCTTGGGCCTACCTAAGACAACGGTCCTAGCAAAAAAATCTAAGCGGACCAACATAATGGTTTTGGGTAACAATACGTGCTTGTGTTGTAGTAATTGAAAAACAAGACAGTGGAACGGCAATATTTAAAGAATGAAAAATCT